AGTCATCCTCAACACCCTTCTTCCCTTGGACCCATGTCCATCACAAGTCCATCATAAGCTCCCTCAATTTCACCTCTGGAATCTCCCTCCATCACTCCAACTGCCGGCCAGGCCCAGCCACTGTGGTCTCTGGCTAAGGAGCAGCCTCGAATCTGGCCCACCCCACCCGCTCGGACCACCACCCTCCACAGCCCAGTGTGGACCATGGCTCGCTAATCCGCTCAGGCCACCGCCCTCCACAGCCCAGTGCGGACCACGGCTCGCTAATCCGCTCAGACCACCGCCCTCCACAGTCCACCCACCCACTCAGACAACTGCCCTCCACGGCCCACCATGGACCACAGCCTGCCTATCACTCAGACCCACCACCCTCCATGACTTAGCACAGAGCACAGCCCGCCCCCCTGCTTGGACCTCCCTCCCTCCATGACCCAGCACGGGCCAGCTGTCCACTTGCCGCCCCTTGCCCTGGGAGGCAGATATACTCCTTGTCACAGCCCACAAAGCTGCCAGTGTCTCCCTGCCCCCTCCAACCCCCTCCAGCCACATGGCCGTTGCACGTGCCACCCCCTGACCCTGCCAGAACACATGCTTAGTTCTGCAGCACTGGAAGGCACACCTTCATTCAGCACACCCTTCGGCACGCCTGTCACCTGAGCCCCGTCAGCTTCACCTTAGCCCTGTCAGATGGGCCTGAGCCTTGTCAGCTTCACTTGAGCCCCAACAGCTGGGCCTGAGCCCCGTCAGCTTCACCTGAGCCCCAACAGCTGGGCCTGAGCCCCGAAAGCTTCACCTGAGCCCCGACAGCTTCGCCTGAGCCCCGTCAGCTGGGCCTGAGTCCCGTCAGCTTCACTTGAGCCCCAACAGCTGGGCCTGAGCCTGTCAGCTTGGCCAGAACAAAACCTGGAAATAGTGGATTGCGGAAGGAAGGTGCTAGTCCACTCGTGTCAGAAGGTTCTCTGACTTCTACACCATATAACACGTATATTCCATTCCCAGTTCACTTATTACTGAACTTTTCTCATCTTTGATTTCTCAAATCTAGCTATTTTCATAACCTGCATCTCTGCATTTACAATAAAGCATGTGTACATTTGAATGAGTGTGCATG